AGCTGACCTAGACCTTTTAACTGTACTCCTGTCTGATATTTTAACTCGTTTTATTCCTAACAGTTGTGGTGTACCAGCCCGATGAGGTCCACCGAAAACGCGCTTATTCGTTGACTCTTGTTATTCTGTCTACACCTAAGATATTTGCTCGCTTTCTTGCTTTTTTTTGTTTTTCCACACGCCGTTTCGTCTTTTTTGTCTGCTTAATCGTTGCGATGTTGAACGAGAAATTCATACGCATTTTCCATTGGGCCCGGTACTGCGCCATGCTTGAAGGATTTTTCCTGCCAGCGGCGTGCTTCATCTCTGATCGCCCTGCCCGGTAGACGCACGGGACCTACGACAGCTAAATTGGAAGTCAACGCCTTACTCATCTTGTCGCCACGTGATAGACTGATCACCGGGCGACTTCTTCCAGTCTGGTCCTGTGCGAGCGAAATGAGCACGTCGGAGCAATCGCTTTCGTGGCATGCATAAAACGTGGCCCAGCACTCTCAGTTGACGCAGCGGTACCAGACTGTCAAGTGGAAGATCCGTGTTGCCCAAGACGCGACGTCTAAGATCGTCGTTGCAAACATGTTTCCTCCACCACACTCGAGCTATTCTCCACAGACCTCTATTGTCAAAGGCCGAAGTCCGATGCAAGTCATTCATACGAATCGACCAGGACTTACTCCCATACAGCAGCACCGCGCGAACACCGACATTGTAGACCTGCCCTTTAGCAATACTGACAGGTCAAGGCGTCGTCACAGATGCCTCGGGTTGTCGAACCCCGAACGGACCTTGGCAATATGGAGAGAAATTTCTTTTCCAATCTTACCATCAGCAGAGACACCGTTTCTCAGATAAACGGAGTTGTCCACTTGTTCAACTGGGAGCACTGGGGCAGGTGGATGCCAATCCAAGACCAGGACTTCGGTAGGAGAAATGATCGTTCCATATTTTGATGCCTCAATCGCCAAACGGTTTGTGTGCTCTGTGTGTCATCACCAAGTAAGGCAATATCATCAGCATAACCTAAATCGGTCACACGGTTGCCAGAAAGAAGCTCTACACCTGAATGCTAAAAGCCCTCGACAGTGCTTAATAGGGCCTCCTCGATCGCAAAAGTGAAGAAAAACGGGGATATGGGTCAACCCCGTCGTACACCGCAAGTGACGCTAAAAGGTGAAGTGAGCTTACTGTAAGCCCTCACCTGACTGAAGACATGGCAATATAATGCGCGAGGGATGGCGATATACTTTCCGGGCTCTCCATTCTTTTGTAAGCAGCGCCCTAAAGCTGGCCGGCCGAAAGCGGCTCGTGTGTTCAGGAAAACAACCATAGTGGGCTGGCGATAAAGATAGCGCGTTAACAAGTGGTCTGTACACCATCGACCGGGACGGAAACCAGTTTCTTCATGGGAACACAATTCTCTCATCGGGATTAGTCTGCGAAGTAGTACGGATTTTAACAGCTTGGAGGCAACGGACATTAGACTGCTTCCTCAGTGGTTAGCGCATAGGGTACGGGAACCCTTCTTGAAGAGCGGAACGATAATTGGCGCCCCAAACGGATAGAGCTGTTTCTTTACACCAGATCTTAGAGAATAGAGCTGTTTTCTGATTGACAATTGCTTCGCCACCGAAGTTGAACAGCTCCGGAAGAAGTCCTTCTGGGCCAACAGACTTGAAGCACTTCAAGTGTCGGAGCTCAAGGCAGACCTCAGCTTCTGTGCGTGATTCCAGTGAGACGTTCCAAAGCGTGCAACTAGATATACTCGTCAGGCACACCGGCGGAGGAGGCGAGCTGAATTGAGTGCGAAATTGTTCAGCCCAGCGGTCCATGCGCCTGTGTAAGTTGTTGATCGGGGTTCCCTCAACCTCGCAGATAACCTCACTGACACCATGACTTTTATGATTAGTGGCCCGAATGACCTGGTAGAGATTGCCAAACATTTGAGAGTGGGCTGCCGTTTCCATTCCTGAGGTGCGCTGAGATCGCCAAGTTTCACGATCAGGTCGCAGGGTTTGCTTAAGTTGTTGGCTGAGGATGCAACTCATTGTATTGCTATTTGAATCGGTCAGGATAGCTCTACGATGATCAAACAATTCCAGTGAGTGTGCGGAAATTCAGACCCTCAGGGGACGTCTTGTGACTCCGCAGGAAACTCCACCGATTTTCGATGTCTCGAGGTGGAATACTAACGAATGCATGCGACAAGGAAACTTGATAAGCTGATCGAACAGAAGAGTCAGTTAAACTGTTGGTGTCGAGCGTATGGTGCTTTCGTTTTGAGGAACCGCTGAAGCTCATGCAGATGTCTGCACAGACCGTGTACCGTCCGTCGGTAAATATATAAATTTATTTATTTATAATCTGGATCAAGATACGTAGACTAAATCGATCTACAATCCTGGACGCTGCCTCGTCATCTAAAGCTGATTGCAATGCGTTGGCGAAGGTGGACGCCAGGTGACTACACTTTTTCTGGAATACCTAAAGTTCGTACTTGAGAGAAAGAGAGAGTGGTCTTCGCAGTGAGAAGTCTATCACCGTTGTCAGAACGACTCTCATCAAGCGCGTAACTGCCACCAAAATAATGTTCGCGCGGAAGCAGGCGACTTACACGTGCACTGTGATCTCCGGCAAGGATAATGACATGTGACTTTTCGGCCTTGTACAAAAGGTTGTGGGGTCCACGATAGAAATCATCCGCAACCGCTGCACAGCTGCAGTCGGTTGTAGCGTAGGCAGAAATGACAAACAAATTGAGCCTCCCTTCACGATGTCTGTTGACTCTATAAGAGCCTTGAAGCCGCACCGCACACAGCCAGCTGTTGATCGGGAACCAGTCGAGTAATGCAGCCTCAGCTTTTTCACACAATGCGATACCAACGCTAGGTAAGCCGACCGCTACTGCCTCCATGTCACCAGAGAGACGTAGGTACTGTGTACTTTCAAGAGCAGCTGGGGACGACAACTTAACTTCTGTGCTGAGATCCCGCCATCGAGTCTCGGAAAGGCAACAAACATCAATGCCGAGGGACTCTAAAGTGCGCGCCAGGTCAGCCTGTCATCCCATTTGTAGGAGGGTCCGAACATTGAACTCTGCCAGGCTGGATGAAGAACGGGGTCGAAGGATAGATGATGGCCGGCAAAAATGAGCGACGTTGTAGTACTTGCGAAATCCACATCGACTCAGTTAATAGTGACCGCTTCCTTTTTGCTCTTGCTTGCATGACAGTCAAGTCCCACACTATTCTGAAGTATCTCTATTGCGACGCTCGAAGCAGGTTAATGATGGAGTTCGTCAAGTTTAACGTATCTGCTGTTTTCTCATCAACTTTGTAATTGAATAATACCTTGCTCTACGATGAAATTCTGCCTTTTGGCCGACTGGCGGATTCTCACACTGAACGATACAGCCCACTTCGGATCGTACTCAGCGGCTATGCAAACCCACTAGATGAGCTGGCGAATTGCACTGCACGCGTTTCAAGCTACCAAGCACTGCTGCAAGCCTGGACTGATGCTGCGCTCTTCCAATGCCGATCTGGCCGATCGTTTCATTTGTCTGATCAATTTTGTCACTTCTAGTCATCTCATAACCGAAAAGCCCACTTTGCATGACAACCAAGTCCTTGTGGCTTTCCAAGCTCCTATTTGGTTATCAGCATATCAGTCGTATGTAGGTTGCGCAATACTGCTTCAGCGTGAGATCGATGTTACTCCATGCGTCCGAAACTGGCATTAAGCAATTAATGAATTTCGATCACCGATCTTTACGGAGTACTACTACTAACATCTGAGGGGATCACCGGGTGAGTAATATTGAGGTCCGCCAGTTGAAGTGCGTTGATTGGAACCTCCTAGCTTCGCGCTGAACTCTCTACCAAACTGAATCGTGCCATATCCACCGTTTGTCCGTTAACTGACTCACGTACCGTCGCTGCACTCAGTTTGCTGGTGCCATGAAGTGGCCAGTCGATGACGTTGCGTAGACACGTGCAACAAATGACCACAGCACTTAGGCTGGTTCGCGCTCTTATATGGAGTCCTCGCGATGAGCAACAGCACTAGTCTCTTTGCCACTCCTCATGTGCACCGGTAAATCGCACTCATTTGAATTGTTTTTAGAAAGTATCCATCGTCTGTTTAGGTCTGATTTGTAAATGTACAAGTTTATGAAGACATTTTATCCCATGTGTGGAACTTATGTTCTCGTTTAACTCGACTTATGGCCTGCCTGAGTCCTAATGTTTTTCCTGAACTATTACTGGCCAACCGAACAACCTCCTCGGATGCCAGCTGGGTGTTTCGGGTCTAACCCGTTTCAGCAAATAGTTAGGCGGCAGTGTTCCAGGATGTGGTGGGTTTTCACCTGTAAGCGTTCCCGTTATGAAATGTATGTCTATCAATACTGCAACTTGGCGGTCGTGACTCTCCACAAACTGAAATCACTGCCCCGTGAATATCCGGATAATCCTATCCAACTCACGGACATCATTCTGTTCTCACATTGCCGACACTAGTAAACAGTCAAGAATGCAGCTGCACACTTACAAGTACAAACCACACAGCCGCACACCTACGCAACTAGATAAATATACACGCCCTTACACAAACATTCACTGTTATGACAAACGCTTTATATTTTTGTACATGTTTGATCACGCTTTGTTATCCTAATATGATCATATCTGTAAAGGCATGTCTTGCGTTATTTGAGCCTTAAGTCCACTAGCTCAGTTGGTTTCGGGCGCTCGTCGCTTTTAACGCCTCTCATCGTTTCACTGTCATTGGCATTGCCCAACATTTTGCATTGCTGCAACAAAGTTTTTTATCCTCTATTTATGTTTGCTAAAACCTGAACGGATCAATGCATACGCGCCTTCATTTCCTTGTGGCAACTTATTTTAACCCCAAAACATCAAATACCGTCTTACATTTCTGTTTCCTTTTCTGTTGCTTTTTCTGTGACATTCCTCCGTGTTATTTTTGCGTTTTTAACCCAGATTGGCGTGCTTGTTGGATCTCGATCGCAAAGACCTAATATCCGCTTTGCCACTCGCTGAGATTTCCGACCTCTGTGGTTTGTCGGGGAAAGAAAACGTTTCGCTCGGGTTTACGAATCTGGGCTCGTTCGTTCGGTCTAACTGTCTTCGTTCATCGGAACCGGCTATCTTGCACTGCCAAGATCACTTGGTGAATGCAGTCGCTTTGGCTTGCTTGGAAACGCTGGCGAAATGTGAGTGAATGTGGATTATTACGTCATCCTCAGTACTTTGGTGCAACTTCTCCATCAACCCATCTCCTTTCGTTTTGTTCTTTCTGCAATGTTGTTTAGTAAAGCATGTGAAACAGAAACAAAATCACACGTACTCCACGCACTCTTCAGTGCCACAAGATCACCACCTCCAATCGAGTGCCGTGCTAAGGACACTGCAACGTCAACCGCAAATGCGGACAGCAGGCCTATAGATTACCTCACCAGGCCTGTCTATCCACTCGTCCACCGGCCCCGTTGTGGCAACTCTCTCCTCTTTCTTTTGGTCCCACAGTGTGGATGCCTTTTGTTCGATTTGCAACTTGTCATTTGTGCACAGTTGCATGTTTCTCCATCGATCGGATGCTACATATTCCACTTCTTCCTATTGTGTGATCGTTATGTTTTCCGTACTTCGGCCTCACATCTAATGGGAGCACCGAATGAGCAATACAGTAGCTCTCAGTTTCCCCTTAGAAAGAAACCCTCTGGCGTTGCACCAGTGCTTGTCAAACTCGAAGCTCTTAGGTTACTTAGGTCATATCATCTTGGATTCGTTGGCCGCCTTTCTCATTGCGCACCATCATCATCATCATTATACACGTTAGCTGCAGGTGGAAAACACCTCAGCTATTGTGCCGCAATACAAAATACAAGAAAGGGAATACAAACAGTGGCATGCCGGCTGAGTCCCCAGTAACTGATGGACATCGTCCCGGAGAGCTAACAGCTGGCTATCGTGCTGCAAAAAGAAAGTTATATTATCCCTAACGAATAAGATCGTGTTTGGAGGGGGAGGCTAAGCAGGAGGGGGTGGACTAAGGAACTCACAACACAAACGCCCTTCGGGCCGGCTCCTAGCCGTATCAGCAAGTCTGTCCAACCAAACGTGTTCACCGTCCTTAGGACCCCAGCCAGGCAGTCGGGATGCACCAACCGAAGCCAACTTCGAAATGAGGGCCTTCATTCCTCTCGATCAAGTCATCGCTTGACATTTCCTCCTCCTCTTCCAGTTGCACGCCCGGCGCGCAAACAATGCACGTCGCGGGGTCGGTGTGCTGGTATGCGCAACACGTGGCCCAGCCATCGGAGCCTGATGTGTGATATAATGGTGCTGAGCGGTTCACTAGCTCTTCCTGCACCAAGTACGCAACGCCGAACACGCTCATTGCTCACGCGGTACTCCCACCAGACATGAGCTAAACTGCGGAGGCAGCAATGATCGAACATGGCTAACCTCTTTATCTGTCAACCTGATGGACCAGGTTTCACAAGCGTATAAGAGAGTTGAACGAACGGCTGCATCATAAACTCTGCCCCTTCAGGGCGAGTGATGCCGCTTCTACGCCACAGGTGGCGGAGATTGGCAAATGCACCTCGAGCTTTTGCTGTGCGGTTCATAATCTTATCTTCGATCCCACGGACGCTAATATGGCTCCCCAGTTACTTGAATTCCTGAAAAACTTCTATCTAATCACCACCAAGCTTCGACGCAGAGGTGGGTCCTTGTCAATCTTGGAGAACTTTGCATTTCGATAGAACAAAGCATAGCGCAAGACAATTGACAACCAATGCCAATCGGTCCAGTGCATCCTGGCACGTTTGGGCGCTGTCACATTATGAGGGCGATGTCGTCCGCATACTCCAAGTCAAGAAGTCGCTCACCAGGAAGTAGCTCCACACCTTCCAAGTCGTGTCCAGCGAATGCTGTTTCCATGACTCTATCAATAGCAAGGTAAAGAGGAAAGTTGACAGCGGGCGACCTTGTCTCACGCTGCTGGAGATATTGAAGAGCGGCGACAGTGTGCCATAAACCCTCACTCTGCCCGAACTATGCGCGTTTAGCGCTTTGATAATATTTACATATTTATCGGGCACAGCTTTTCTTAGCAGACAGTCACAAAGCACATCGATCCACCGAATCGCAGGCACCTTTGATGTCGAGAAATACGACAACGGTGCGTCGCCAATAAACATGGCGGTGCTCCAGCAATTGACGCAAAGTGAAGACGTGGTCGATGCAGCTTCGATTTCGACGAAACCCAGCTTGTTCTTCTCGAATCTGGCTTTCACGAGTGCCAGTCAGTCTGTGGAAAACGACATAGGCAAGCAATTTGGATACAATTGAGATCAGACTGCTTCCTCTGTGGTTGCCGCATTTCGAACGGGAGCCTCTCCTAAAATTCGGGACTATGTCGGGACAGTTTCCTGCTCCCAACGTTTCACAAGCAACTCGTGTAAATAATCTACTGGAGCAGGTCCCTGGAATCTGTACAGAGCTGGGGGAGTTCTATCTGCACCAGCGGCTTTATGCAATATCAGCGGTCTGATCTCACGTTCGATTTCTGCACGTGAGGGCGGATCTAAGGAGATGGCCCATGGAGATGGGCACTCAATATCCAGAAGAGAAAGCGATAACTCATATTGATTAAACTGCCTTGCAAAATGTTCGGCCCAACGCTCCAAGCGTTTTGACAAGCTGTGGATCGACTGTCCACTCTCGTCTCGCTAACACCTCACGAATCTGGCTTTCACGAGCGCCAGTCAGTCTGTGAAGGCTTACAGAGGCAAGCAATTTGGGGGCGATGGGGATCCGACTGCTTCCACTATAGTTGCCGCATTCGGATCGTGAGTCTCCCTTAAAAATTGGGACTATGACCGAGCGGCTCCAGTCGGTAGGGACAGTTTCCTGCACCCACAGTTTCACTAGTAATTCGTGTAAATCATCAATAAAAGCGGGGCCCTCGGATTTGAAGAGGGCTGGATGAAGACCATCTGGTCCCGCGGCTTTGTTCAACTTCAACAGTTTGATCTCACGTTTGACTTCTGAGCGAGAGGGTGGATCCAGACAGCCCACGGAGCAGAGCGATCATGGCACGTGAGAAATCGATTAATTCCGGCCGATTAAATTGCTTTTCAAAATGCTCAGCCCAACGCTCCAAACCTTTTGACAAATTGTGGATAGGCTGTCCACTCTCGTCACAAATTGTTTCACTAACACCAGGTCTCTTGCTGCCCATTTCCCGTATCAGGCGGAATAATTTTCGATGATTACCAAAGACAGCGGCTGTTTCCACTTCCGATGCACGATGAGACCACCAGGATTCGCCGTTTCTCTTCAGGCTTACACGCAGTTTTGCCCCGAGATTTTTGAGTCTCATTTTATTCGCTTCCAGCCGGAATACGTCGACGAGCATCCATAAGTTCCAGAGACTTTGTAGAGATCCAATGTCTAGGTTGGCAATTTGATTTGCCACATGAAGACGTGCCTGCTGATAGTAACGTTTGACGAATATGCGACCAGTGATCTTCAACGGTGTTCAGTGAACGCCTCAGCCCAGATGCCAGCATACTTTGCTACGCATTCAGAACACTTGGCTTCGCCAGCTGGCTGTTGTCAATGCGCTCAGCGCGACGTTGCGGACGTCCGCCGAAACGCACCCGCAGATCAGCACACACACAAGAGCGTGGTCGGAGTCCACGCTGGTGCTCCAAATCGAGCGACAGTTTCGGACGCAGCCTCTCTAGCGGTAACTAATCGCGATGTGATCGATTTGCGTCCATGGCTGGCCCGAGACTGGTGGGCGCCAAGTCACTCTTCTGCGGGTGCTATGTCGAAAGTTAGTGCTTACGAGAAAGAAACTAGCAGCTTCCCACAGATGTAGCAACCGCTCACCGTATTCATTACTGGAGCCTATACCATTTTGGCCGCCCAGATAAAGCTCACTTGAGAACAATTTTCCGGCTTGCGCGTTTATATCACCAGCAAACACCACAGTATCCGTGCTTCTTCTGTAACGAAGAAGATCGTTAAGTTAGTGACATAAATCGTCTTTCATCGAATCAGGACTGCAGTTTGTGGCGGCATGAGCCGCACCGTTTGTCAAACGCGCGAGTTCGAAGCCTAGAACGAGCCAGCCAACTTAACAACGCACTTCCGGCTGTTGATAGGGATCCAATCGATCAGGGCGGCTTCAGCCTGGGGACTCAAAACGATGCTGTCGCCAACTTGACCTGCATTTGAAGCTGGATCTCGCCAGACAGGCGCAGTGAGAATTTACCGCCACTGTCGCATATGGGGGACTTCAGAGTAAGCACGGAGCTCGAATCTTGCAGGCGGGTTTCCGATAAACAACAGATATCGATCAAGAGGGTCTCGAGTGTTCGAGCAAATGGTGCCTGTTGTCCAATCTGTAGCAAAGTGCGCACGTTGAGGCATGCCAGTCTTAATGAGGATCGAGGATTCCAAAGGGAAACGGATGAACTGACGTCCGCTTGATTGAACATGGACTTGTCGACTGATTTAGAGCGACCCCCTGCCATTATGTGTGAGTTGAAACTATAAGACAAACGACTATTCAAGCAAGATGGGGGAGGGCCAAGAATTGTGGGATTGAACATGAGGGGATAAAAGTTAAGTTGGAGCGGGACGCTAAGGGTGAAAAAACGCAAGAAGGGAAAAAGAAGGCGGGAAGACCCGAGCAGTAGCATCCAAACCCCTATCCACCCTGCTCGATGCAGCAGATAGGGCGCCGTTTATTATCCTCTGCGATGGCCAGGGCATCAGGAGACTGTTAGAAGGAAAGGTCATGGTGTAGTGCGCAGTATATACTGTTTCTATACTTAGTTTGGTGATACTTCGGCATGGCCGTTTGATGACTTTCTCATTACTATCCTGACGACACACTTCAGCCCAAATGTCATAGTTCTTTGACCGAACTAAACAGAACTGACTACTAAGGTCGTGTGTCTACTACAGTGTTCTGCTTTTCGGACCTGCTTGCGATTGACTACACCGTACGACGTCTTAAAAGCCTCACTTGTGGCTCTTACTCTTCACACACACACACACACACACACACACACACACACACACACACCTTACCTCTCTCCCTCTCTCCATCTTTTGATAGCCATATTCTCAATAATTGCGTTAACCCATACTTTTCTCGTAATGATGTGTAACATTGATCTCACAAAACTTTACGCGGCACATTTTTCTCACCTTTGTCTTCCTTTAAATGCTAGTTCGATTTTCTGTTTGGGTTGTGCTGCATCACTATGTTTTTATGTATTACATATTAGCTACATTCGTCTATATAATCTATTGAACACATGAGGTACACTGACCGTTGATTTGTCACGGTTTCCTAACCAACTTCCATGCGTGCCTTCGATGCGCTGTTTCCCCTTCACTTCCCTGATTTGATCTCTGAACACTTTCAGCACGTTAAATGCCATGTTGTCTTGATGTTTTCGATTTGGTTTTCGTACAGCTTTTTAATTATTTTTGTGTCCATCGTTGCCTCTATTCAGGGCCAGAGGGTCACACGCATCAGTCCGAACTGTGCGAAGGATTTTGTGTACCGCACCTGATTTTATCAAACGCATTTGCGCTTGCTCAAACTAGCTGTCATGACAGCGCGGTTGCACTCGATGCGGTCGGCAAAATTTTCGAACTAATTTTTCGTGAGTTCTCCCTTACCGTTTACTGGTTTATCTCTTTCTGGGCGCGTTTACCCAGGTTTTTGCCCTCATGCGCAGTGATTGTGTGCATGTGCGTGTAAAACACGAGGCAGACCATCACTTGGGAAGCCATCAGCACCTCATATTTGATGGCTCAGCACTATTCTGTCACTGATCCTTCCCAGTTGCCTTCGATTAGGATCCTCATGCGTCGCTTTGACTTCGATAAGTTTCTTTTTTGCTTTCTTGAATGTGTGCGCACCATAGCTTTCCCCTTTGGGTGCACCACGAAGTCGTTCCACCTTTTGTGACAACTCTGTTTCACACTACACTGCATTACGCTGTATTGTTTCCCGGGCGACGCACTCACGTTGGCTCTTGAATCAAGTCTTGACGGTACTGGTAATTCTTAAATCTGGAGTAGTGCAGAAATGCATTGCTGATCTTGATTTTCCAAGTTATTCGGTAATCGGTCTTGCGACTGTTGATCGCTTTCACGCTCGACTGAACGGTTCTCGTCCACTCGTCGGCAATGGGTAAAAAAAATACGATCGACCTTCACAGTATCCTTCAAAACGCTCGATTATTAACAAAAGATCCGATTCATTGTTCCAAAAATCCCAGGCCTCCATTATCCGACTTGCTTCAGAGCCGGTGGAGTATCTGAACATTGCCAACTGGTATGGTCTTGCATATTCATCCAACTCCGCGAATTTCATCTAATCCGCTTTCCACGCTTTCCAGTTCTCCGACAATGTGCTTTCTCTCATCTCTGGTGGGGTTGCCAATGAGATCATTGATTGCTTCTCAATCGCGAGCAAGTTTTGACACGTTTGTGCCTGTCACCATGTTTGGTGCCTGAGTTCCCCAACTACGTCAAGAGAAAGAGCTCAAACCTCTCTGCGCACAAACGTTCTATTCACAACTCAGACAAAGTACAACAAGCTGTATATTCAAAGACCCACTCGTCCGCTCGATCGATCGCCTGATGGACCGCACTGAGGCGGGCGATTCGGTTCGCCTCAGCTTTCAACCACCATCACAATGACCTTATAGGCTTTCCCATTAATTGTATTTGTTTCATGCAAGATGCTATTAAGATCCATCAGGAATTGTCATTGTATGCTATAAATAACTAAATTGCATATTCTCGTTTTAAGTGGGACACATCTGTGACAACATGTAAGTATTTTCTTATGCAACAACCTCGAATGATCGGAAAGTGCACAGCAGCAATACACTTTGATTTTCAACTTTGATAGAGCATAAAATTTGATTGTTGTTTCTGTGTGTCGTCTCATGTCTTTATCTGCATTGGTGGGCCCCTTGAGATTATGATTGCGGAACGCGTAAAAGCTGCTTTTGCAAACTAGGGAAACGGGTTTAACATAAGTATAAAGTGTGTATAGTTTTTTCTAACTCGTTGTGACGGTTGCTTTGCTCAAAGCTATTCAGTAGTATCGAATGTTGATTGTGGTACTCACATGATACGGGAACAAGAGAGGCACTTAGAAAAGGGAAATGTACGAGTAGACTGCAATAAGATTAGTCGGAACATCGATTGTTAAGACGGCGGATGCAGTGGTGTATTAATTTAACTTTCTCCCTCAGTACACAATTGTTGGTGTTAAACTTGTGGTTAGCATAACCGTGTATGAGGAAGAAAGAAGATAAAATCGATGAGTGTAGGGGCCTTACCACTGCAATATTCGCTCTGTTGTAAATTAGTTTCTGGTTCGTATAAATCCTGGACCATGTTCGTCTGCCTGGCTATTTGTTATTGTGATATCCCAATAGGCGGATCACGTTTTGCATAGTCAAATATTTGCTGTTGCTTACGCGAAACTCGTGCTCTGAATTACAAGCGCGCATTTTGAATGGCAGTTGTTTGCTCCAGATTCAGGTATATGTGTTAAGGTAGTAGTCTGCGGATCCGATGGTCTCCGACATGCATCCCCCTACTGAATTTTCCTTTTTTCGTGTATTGTGTGGTATTATTGCCATGTTGAGGTTAGAAACGCATTTTCTTGTACAGGATGTTATATAATATGATGAGCTTGTACTTTATTCGCCTCAACCAAATGGGCTCAAGCTTGTGTTTCTCATATTGTTCAAGATATTTTATTAATTGCCTTGTGAGTTTTAGTTGTGCATTTTCTAATACATTGCGATCGCGTTTGTCTTTGTTGCTGTACACCATTGAGCAGTATTCCAACTCGCCGCTGGGCTGTACGTCTTGAAGTTCACTAAAGCTTTGCCATCTTGATCGAGATAGTTGTTTGCCATCGGTTACTTCCATATGGTGAAAGTTTTGGTTTTTCGGCAGCGTTTATAAATTGGACGAAGATGACGAAAGTAGCTTTATTTCTGACGAGCCTGTTTCATTGTTGAACTCGGTGTTATTATCAGCCGGCCGTTTGTAGATTCGCGTCTTCTGCTTGCTGAGGACATGACGTGGGCCCCCTGGGGATTGGAAAAACTAACTAAGCTATTCACTTCTATGGCTTATTAGGCAGGATCGCTGTACGAGTACTGATCACTGTCGCTTCGGTCTTTGTTTTGCAGCTTCGAGATGGTCTTTTGTGCCTTTTTTGTACAGTTTTTGCATCACTGTTTCATCGGAAGTTTTAACGCATCATCAGTCATCACTGTTGGATTGGTTTTAGTCTTTTACAAATTCGAGGTCTGTTTGTCTCTACCATTTGTCTTTGAACATAGTGCTACGCTGAAAATTTGCTTAATGCATTTCCTTTTGTGGCGACGGGAGTTGACGGAACTACCAATGCAGCTTGTCTGTTATAAATTGAGCGTTTGGACTCTGCACATGTGGGAGGGAAGCCAGATTACATGATAACTGCTGGTCTATTCAACACCTTTGGACAATATCTGGCAAGGTTATCGGAATCGCAGAAATGAAAAGCTCTACACCAACTCCGCGGCTGCTTTAATTGCTCTAATATGTGAATCGCTCGTCTTTCTTTAACAATTTCACGATCTAGTATTCCTTATTGACAGACACGATACTGGCAGACGTTTTTTCGGATGTCAATGTTCTGTTCGTCATTACTGGGCTAGTTACGCATCATTGTTAGTCTTCCGACCTGATCTGAGTTATCCCACTTCTGCCTAGATTCAGGCGTTTGCGCAAAACCGCTCGCGACTACATCGTCGCAAGGTATGAGCACAAACTGTTTGGGTGTTCTCACGGATTCAGCCAGTTCCCAGTCAGATGGCCATGTCAGCTTTCGAAAAAGCGCTTCACAGCCGTACGACTTTCTGATGAATCTTCTCTGTAATTTCGCCTCTTCAACAATTGTTACTCATCCCCTTAGTCTACATGTGTTATGTTGACTTAGTCGTAGCGACCTTCCTAGTCCGGTCGAACCATACAGTTTTTGTGAACTGAGCCTTAATACGCGCGCGCACGCGATGGAAATGCTAACCGCACAATGTACCCGAGCCCAAGAGAACAGAGAGTACATGTCTTCTGCAAGGGTTCTTTTACCATGCGGTGTAATGGCGAATACAAGCTTTCACAGCCACGACTGATGACGTATGTGAACTCCACGTCTGAACGGAACATGAATGTAGCTTGATGAGGCTGTAAGTGCACACGAGTGGGTGTTTGCTTCAGAGATGAGTGACGCGGAGGCATAGCTTGAGGAGCATGCACCTTCGCGCTAGTGAAAGTATCTACTTTGAATGTTGAAAGGCGAGGACCTAGTTCGCGCGATTTTGGGGATATGTGCGTTCCCATCACAGCCCAGCATCTCGATTGATAGCGCCTTGAAAGTGAAATCGTAAATCTACTAGAGGTTGGGAACGCACACGGTAGTGGAGGAAGGACAGTCTATACCGCAGGCTGTTCAGTGGTCCCCTGGCCCTCTCAGGCTCCCGCGCATTCTTGTTGTTCGTCCAACCAGAATTTATAACTCAACCATTCGCACCAACGCAAGAGCTTCGAACAACCAACATATGCTGTAGCAATCTGGCCGCTGTATGACCAATTGTGTGTGTGGAGAACATAATCACGATGAAACGCTAACTCTCATAGTTGATGAATGGGACCCTTAGCGGCCGTCGATGTGCGTCTTCTGTTTTTAAATCTGCTCATCTCGTTCTATTGCACTTCGAATGGAGTTACCTGTCGTATACGCTCGAACTGTCGACACAGAACCTATCGTTTAAGCAAAGTATTATGTGCCTTGTTTGTGTTTCAGAAAATTGGCCACCCTCCGATTTGTGTCCCAAGGGAACCACTCCATCTTGCTCCGAACACACTGCCTCAACGACCCACGCACAAGAGCAGCGGACCCCGAACTTGGATGAATCCGAGTTCCATGGACAGAAGACCACACCACAGTCTCTCCCTCCCCTGGCTACACCTTTAATGGACCGGAGCATCCTATTCGCGGATGATTCGCGCTTTCTCTCTTGTCGACCTACAGCCAGATCCTCTCGCATGACCTCTGTACGTATTTCGAAGCCGGAACTGAGCGATGCATCAGGTAAGTGTCGTCCATTTCGTTCATTACACCCTCTAGGGTGAGTCTTACTCTAGCTAGTGTCACTATACTCCATTTTCTCCAATCATTGAGGTTGTGCTGGAATATAAGACCTTATCAACTTACTCTGAAGAAACCCAAGAGGTGCGAACATTTGGAAATATTTGAGTGTTACTCCTCTCAACACTGGCACACCACGAACACTTGTTTATTGTGGCACCAAGCATATATCACGTGTATTAGAACTGAATTCACAGGGCTCCACTCATATGCCAGCTTCCTCTTGGATACTGCACTCTTGCTCGCAGCTCTCATCAAGCGTTGATTCTGCGCTTATTCTGGGCTCACGTCCAACTCCGGCTTCCGGACATTCGGCTTGTATGAGGACGCCGATATATATATATATATATATATATATATATATATATATATATGTATATATATATATATATAATGTGTCATCAGCACCATGGCGGAATGGGAAAACAGGATTAAGACTAAAGCAATTTATTGGAATGAATCAAGGGAGGCAGAATCTGAGTAAAGAATTCTTCTAGGTAATTCTTTTTAGAGTCAAACATTACATGATGACGATAAAGTGCTAAATATCCCGGATTGGGCTGTGTATTGAGCAGGATGTTTAATTTCAACTGCAATAAATCACGGGGGTCATTGAAAATGGCAAGTATGTACGGGGGAAATCACAGCCGAAGTTGTAGGCCACGGTAGAAGTAAAGGACGTACAAACAGTTTTTGTACACACAATTCTGGCTTGAGGTGGCGGATGTAGATAGCTTCCGCAATAGACAGAAGATGCTTCCGGAATCCGCGCGTGAAACTTTCAGGAACAGTATAGATGACTCTAAAATCATTTTCCGTCCCTGCCTGACTGCACTCTAGAAGGTGAGACAATATGAAACTGTTACTGGACCTCGCTTCGCCCTTGTAAAACCACTTTGGGATGTGTTTGCGAATCCTGTGAGATAGGCGCCTCGTGGTACGAAAAGAATTCTTTACTCAGATTCTGCCTCCCTTGATTCATTCTAATAAATGGGAATTTTTGGATTGCTGAGGATCAGCATTCCCCATGATTCAGTTAAAGCAATTTTTTGTCCATTTTCTCGCTCACCGTTTTTGAGCTTTTGATGTTTTTTATTGGGAGAAAAACGGGGAATCACCGCAACAAGCAGAGATGCACGCCGGCCGCTGAGTTCGGTTTTGAGTCATGATTTCCAAGGTTTTCAACCATCGGCGCTCAGCACCTTTTGGAGCCCATCCAGGGAGTCGAGAGGAACCAACCGAGGCCATCTGTTTTGTCAGCATTTTTATCCTGCTTCTCTAAGTTGTAGGCTGTTCATCACACCTCATCCTCCAGCCCTGTCCAGCGACCGCGAACAAGGCACTACGTGAAAGACGCTGAACGGGCATACGCATACGTGTCCAAGCCATCGTAGTTGCCGACGCGTGACAAGCACCTCGAGGGAGTGGCTGACTCCATCTAAGATGATGTCTGACTTCAACGTTGGTTACGTGGTGCAGCCACCACACACGGGCGATGGACCGCAAGCACGGTTCTCGAAGACAGACAGTCGGCACATGTCCTCGATACGAGCAGGCCAAGTCTCGCAGCCGTAAAACAGTACAGTGCGGACGGTCGCACTATAAACCCGCCCTTTGATATGGAGGCGGATGTCATGGCGACGCCATAAATGTCTCAGCCTGGAGAAGCCGAGACGTGCTCTTGAGATACGCAACAAAATCTGGTTTTCAACAGCCCCACAGCAGTGATACAGTTTCTCACGTAAATGAATCTGTACCACTTTCAGCGTCTCACCATCGATGGTGAGTGTGGCCAAGGGTGTCTACCAGTCTTGAAAATGCGCTTCGCATTTGGATGGTGAAAAGTGCATGCCATACTTCGACGCTTCAATCGCCAAACTATAGCTGACCGGTTACCGCCCGATTCGCTCATTCTTTCTATGTTACTATCGATTGGCTCAGCATACCTCGAATACACGATGGTCTTTCGGTTCCCTTGATGTCAACTCTGTTGCACTTCATTTGAGTTTGTTTCCGTTTTGCAATTTTCATGTTACTTCCTAGTGTTGAACTACCTCTGTTCCAGGTTACGACTACGAACCTTTGCCAATGACCTCGATGCTCTATTCAAAATGTCAGCCTGCTTCTGTGTCCCGGAAGCCGACTGTTAAACTGGTAAGTGAAGTGCGCATACTCTATTCAGATTACCTGACACTTGCATGTTCTCTGGATTTTCTGCCATTGTACTCCCTGCGTTTCCGTCACTTGTTTCGCATTGATTGTTAGACACCTGGAACATTTTGTTATTGTAGCTTAGCTGTCAATTTCGGTTCTGCCATATCTCGCTGTCTACCGTACACTGATAACGTTGGTGTGGTTATCGATAGTCTTGACCTTAAACTGGATGACCTTAAACATTGTTTCCTCTCAGCAACAGAATTATTCCACGGGAGTTATGTAAACAGCTGATGAAACTACCAAAAATATCTGACTTCAGAGTACCATGTTACTGCTTTCGTATAGAAGTGCTTCGAGATTTCCGAAGGAAGCGGGTTGCATACGCAAAGATCATTGATCACGGTTCTGCCGATCCACACTCTTGGCTATTTCAGCGGTCGGTTTGGTCGACTCCGTGATCGTTATTCGAGCGGTATTCGGATTTCTAACTCCGGCTTTCATACTTCCGTCAATTCTTTAATTTTCATTTCTAAAAACCTAAATCTAAGCGGTATCGAACACAAGAACCTATCAAGACTGCATATGTGGTACTTGGGCTACTCGATGGTAACTGTTCGATCTCATAGGGTAGCATTGTAATTCTTTCTTTTGATGTATATTTTAACACTGGGCCGCCCAATCTGTTCCCGCGGTACTCTTCATAGATAGCGCTGGCTTACTACTGTTTTTCGTTACTTCATAACTTACATTACGACGTTCCGCATTCCGCGCTTATTCATTGAACCTGCAGGTGTATGTTTTATGCATCCAGTCAGTCTTCACAAAATCCTCTCACGATCTGCCTCTTTAAATCAGTGCAAAAATGACTGCACTCGCAAGTGACCTGCCGGCTGATTCGCCTAGTCGTCTCCATTTTGTTGAGTGTCATACTTTAGAGAGGTTCTTACGCATTTTCACCGATTTGTTTTCTTGTGAAATTACAAACCTTTTGTTCTTTAGCTTGTGCCTAGTGTCCACGACAAACCGCAGATTCTGACTTGATCTAGACCTTATTTTTGTATCAGTTCGATAGAATCACCTGCAATTGCGCTGGTGACAGCTTCTCTCTTGCGTATGTAGCTGTATATAATTACGTATCACTCCTAACTTGGCCGAACACGAACCAAATAAAGAGCTAATTTGGCTCTGGATGTTCTTATTTTGTCGCTGATCAAACCTCCGCTGTGTGTTGTCTTCGATAACTGTTGCTGGACACAAGCTGAGTAGATCGATGTTGCTTGTTCCTAGATAGCGGATTGGACAGTGGATCTGGATTCGTCATTAAGAATTGCTCAACGTAACGGGATGAAGCCAGGGGATGCGCGACTTGTATGTGTGTTTGTGTGAAAAATTTAATCATTGGGCCAGAGCTCAAGCGAACGGAAGTCCGGTTAAATCACTTTCGTAAATATCTACAGGCTTCCAGTTAAACACACACAGACAATCTTTGACTCCTCAGCGAACTTTATTTAAGCGGTCGTTGATATGGATGAAGAACAACGTCAGACCGAAAACTGCCTGACGGGAGCTCACTTGTTTTCGACCATGGTTTCGAGTACTTCCCGTTTAACGAGACAGTTTGTCAACGTCCGTCTAACAGGAAGTTACGCGAAGTCAGATGTGCATCGCCTGTTCCCAATAGTTGAACTTTTAACAGCTCCTCTATTGTGGCATAGGATCAGATGCTTTGCGCAATGCCACGCTCTTGGCTTCCATTGCCGTGCTGACACATTCAAAATGTCCAGTTGACAGATGTTACGTTAGCAACTGTTCTTATGTCCGCACAATTGGTCGCCTAATTGTTTCTGTACCCGAAGTAAACCAAACTCCGAGTTTTTAACTTCTTTCCGGACACACTAGACATAATTAAAGTGCGATTCATGGGATGGTAGTTCTCGACCGCATCTCTTGTTCCACTTTTTGCCCCGAATGATGACGGAATGCTTCTACTGATTAGAAAATGGATCACATTCTAGAGGATGACCAATCGTGTTTAGAAGAAGAAGCGAAGCTTCATCGTTTCCATGCATGAATACCATGTGGTCCGGTTCCAGTAGACTTACAAACTCAGAGTAGTATAACTATTTCTTTCGGTGCACAGTCTTTCTAGTCGTCTAGTTGACATTAGTGGGATCGGGTTCACTGATAAACGATAAAGCAATATCTCACCGAACACCTTTTACATGCTTGACATGATTGAAAAGTTATTTTTTGACATGATCATCCTAAAAGTCAATGCAATTATGCGATCGGTACTGAAGCGCCTTCATCACAATGGAAGAAAGTTTTCATCTTGTAACCCTACGAAGTGATCAATGGTATGCATGACGTCAGAATCATACAGCAAGCGCCCACCAGTTAATTTTTTCACTTTTGTAAATAATTAAAAGTTCCTGGGGGCAGGTCTGATGAATAGAGTGGATGAGGAACAATTTGGAACCCCCCTTCACAGATCGCTGCAACGGCAACTGCGGATTTGTTGGCCCATTTCCCCCAAATTTGTTGTCTGAAACTCAGCGATAGATCAGCGCAATCGTTTTCACACAATTCTGCGGAAAATTTTCTTATCAACAACTATCATCAAACCGTTTGCAAAGTTGAACTGGGTTGGTTGACTCCTCCCTAATCTGACATTCCAATCAATGGTGATAATTGCCCACTAGGGCATACCCGCGCATCCGCGCACCCCTCGCTTGACGGTTAGCCCGGCCGATGGAGTGCCAGTCCGAGTTACCGCTGATGATAAATATTTGTGACTTCCACAGTCGATTCATGCCCAAAGCAGAAGAAGCACGTGCATCAGCGCACTCTGCTTGCACAGTTCTATTTGCATTATCCGTCATCGACAGGCGTTTTCGAAGTCTTTGAGTAAATTAGACAGGACGGGTGGGTGGGTGACACTTACTATCCATTTGATGGGTCGTTTTAAAGCACTTCTTGCGTAATTGAATTGCTGTGATGCGCTGCCTCAATGTGGACCGTGATTCACATTGAAGTGAACCTTGGTCACTTCGATTTCTGAGACCGTACTTGTGGCAAATGGCTGTTGGGTGTTGTCCGCTCGCAAACTGCACTCCACCACCGGTTTCGAACATTTGTGTAGTGTTCTGTTACAACGTTTAAAACTTTAAAAATGTCTTTGGTCACAACTTGATGTCCGCTTTGGTGTGAACATGGGATCCATAGATGATATGAGCTCTTACAAGGAAGTCGATTCAAACACCACACTCCGAGCACCCGAAGCACGGATCCACTTGCTTTCTTAGCTGTCAGAGATGTGGCATGCTTCCATTGTTTGGATTGTTCTTTTGTTTTTCACTGATAGCTGATCTCTAGTAATGAGCCAAAATAGGAAATTGCCTACCTTGGCCTCGAACACCTAGTGCTTAATTGACATGCTGCGTCAAATGCGCTTCTACTCGCAAAGCAAAAAACGAGAGAATCAACAAGCAGAATCTTTTAATTAGCCAAGTTCGTTTTTCAGAATATGATATCGCTTTTGTGAACTACCCAACCTGTCTGCTACTTGATGTGTGGACAATCAACGATCTTGCATAAAGAAGTCCACAACACTGTAAAGGCTTTGCTCTGTAGTGGCAATTGACGGTCCTCATGACTTCAGCGCACTGCCAACTATGCCTAAATTCTAGTACCCAGCGTTTTACTGTAGCATATGAAGGGGCGTTGTTATGTAAAGCCTTGAGCATATCTTCATGGATTTCGGATGACACCATTACTTTGAGATAAAGATATTTTGTTCAGAGCTCGATACTCCGATTTCCCCGTACCAAAAACGTACACCATTTGAGCATGATAAATTATATATATATATATATATATATATATATATATATATATAGTTTTCGCAAAGTGAAAACCGAACACAACAGAGATATTCATAGTTTTGACAAACAGCCTAAGCTGAAGTAGGGAGTTGACTTAGAGGACACCACCCCGAACTTTGGCTGGATCGCTTACTAGCATGGCAACGGAGGGAATTCCGTCGTTCGCACTTAGTGGGAGCTGCTGACTGAGTTTTCAGTTCATATGCCTTTCATTTGGTCGGTTATCAAACAGAGGGCCAATCACCCCCAAAATTTTCTCTCAGATTCCTATTGCTGGAATACAATACTCCATCAGAGTGAAACAAGGGGCAGAGACTATGTTTAGCGGCGACTCACATCCGCTACGTTCCGGTGTTATTAAACGGACGTATGGATTTTTAGACGGAGAACTCTTGTCAGCTCAGAAACCTACCGCGTCGTGGAACCATTCGGCAGAATACGGCAAACCCGAACCACCTTCCTGGCACCACGATGAGTTCATGCGGTTAACCAGCTATGACACATGATCAGTTGAACTCCCTAAGTATTTATTTTTTGAGTTGTTCTCAAAGCGTTTAAGCTACATCTGATATAGAGAGCGGATCGATGATGTTTACATTATGTCGTATTGACTTCGAAACACCATCACTTCATTTAGGATTCCTCTCTCTATACGCATAGGTGTGATGTGACAATTACTCGTTGCCTTTCAGCTGTGCAGAGCACCATTCTTATACGGTGTTTTTGTCACCGATTGTTGATATGCATAATTATGAATAATTCCCCATTCGAGTTTCGCCTTGTTTTAAACGGTTCGCTGTTTATTATTTGTTGTAGTTTGCTATTAATCTGATATAATTAGTGAACATCCAATATTACATATATAACATAACCGAGAAACGAATCTTTCACATGTGTGCAACCGGATATACAGGTTTAAGTTTCATTGTAGATTCTAGTGATCGGACAAAATTTCTCTCAGATGAGGGATGAAGCTTATTGAAATACACGTCCAATCAACTCAGCACTAGAAGCTTCGTACGCACCACTCTGCTAAGTACACGTGCACTGACGATGTCACCTCGAGTGGTGACGAAACGTTTGCAGTCAACCTGCCGAGCTCAGCGAACAATCAGACAACCAGCTGATGAAGTTCACGATAGAAATCGTCTTTGATAGAATTGGAACTGCAATCATTTGGAGCGTAAGCTGAGATCACGAACAAGTTGCACCTCTCCTCACCACGTCTGTTTATCTTGTATGATCCCCGAAGCTGAACTTGCACACAGTCGGCTGTTAATTGGGAACCAGTCGAGCAGTACTTCCTTCGCTTTGCTTCTTAGCGCTACACCAACGCCAGTCAAGCATGCCACAGCTGCTTCTGCGTCACCAGATAGACGTAGGTGAAATATGGCTCCGTCATCGGTGTGAGATCTCAACACAATCAGAGAGTGCGTTTCGGAAAGACTGCAAACATCGATGGTGAGGGATTCCAGGGGCGCGAAATATTGGCTTGCTTCCCGATCTGCATGAGTGTATGTACATTGAAGCATGCCAGACGGAACGAAGATCGAGGCCGAAGGAGTGCGACTGCGCGAGCTCTCTGGGTGTCCACGGAACCATCCGGAGTAGAATCATGGTAACGAGAATCATTTGGTAACGGATAATACCGATTGGTAACCAATGAACAGGTGGCAAATGAAGGTGCCTGACTAGCAGGAGCAAAAGCAGCTGCAATCGATAGTACACTTGAACAGTCCATGTTGCGCATGCCCAAACGTGCTTCGTTTGCACGACAATCGTCTTTGTTGAAGAGAAGGGGAGGCAATTCTGCAAATTATCAACAGTAATTAAAGCTCTCGTCACGAATTGGCCCTTTAGCTGGCGCCTCCTGTCTCTCTTGTTGAGGTCTCAGTGCGAATGAACACGTTTGGTTGAATGCACTTGTTACTATGGCGAAGAACATCTCCATGGCGTTTCTGTTGCGTTTCTCTGACCCTGCTCCTCTCGCTTAGCCTCCCGCTCCAACCCCAATCTCAGTCACGACGAGTAAAATAAAACAAAGCATAGCGTTTTTTGTTTTTCCTTTTTATGTATCGTGTCACAATATCTTGATCGTCTCTCCTCTCTGGTTAGCGCATTGAATAGTCATGAACTTGTAAAAGCCACTTTCAAGGCAGGGCGTGTCGAAGTCTCCAACAGCAACCTTCATCATGTAGGAACGTTCTGATATGAATGTGAAACTTTTCTGAAGATTACATATTAACCGATACTTGATGGGATTTACTTTGCAGTTTTAGCCTATCTTAATGTCTGGACTACTGGTTTCCCACCTATCCAAACGCAACGATCGGTTATGCGCAGTTTCAAATCGGTTACATCTTTGCACATAACAGATGGAACACCCTCCTTTACTGCCGCCTGAATGTTTATGTCTGGACAGTCCGTCGCTAAACCTGGTCCCAGTGATGTGCATCAAATGAGAATTAGTCAGTGCAGTAAGGTATCATTGGCTACGCATTTTGTTAGTGGTAAGTGAGCGTTGATACGAAAAGTAGATAATTCTGCGCTCTATTGGAATCCGAACTATGTGATGGCCGCTGATAGCTCGGAACCGGTAGATGCGAAGCCTACTTACGATGGGGCCACAAACACACGAACAATTGTTGCGCGACAGAGTTCATTCATTAGGGCACCAGCGAAGAGCAGCGTGTTCACAGACGGGCTGGATTCGCCCAGACGACAGTGAGCGAACAGCGCTCAGCTGATCACACGGCATGCAATAGTGGTAACTGGTCAAGTGAGCGAGCTAAACCGACACAAATAAGTGGACAGCAAGCATGCTAGGGTTTGTACAGGCCGGATAGACAACGCAGAACTGATGGGGTTTAGCTCAATGGCTCGATCCAGTGCAAGCGTTGATTGGATCGATCGCAGCGGACGAACGGCGCGTGTGGCTAGTAAACGTAGGCAGTTGCTACGGGATGTGATAGCGGGAAATAGCCAGTGAAGAAGTTGCCACATTCAGATGGCGTTTCGAATTTATGCGCATCATACATAATCTTGTAGTTGTTAAGGGGTTCTGATCGCTTCCCATGCATTATTTGACTCTTGGAGGTTTACTCCTCAAAGCACTTCAAATAAGCTTCAGCAATTCACACACTGAGCGTGCATTTCTCGAATATCATTGGACGATAAAGTCAATCTTTATACCTTTTTATTCACAATAACGATAGTTACAACAAGTTCCCAACCACTTGCTAGCAGGTCAACATCAACAGTTTGCTGTTGGTTGTGGGCGCGGTCGCGATTAAAAACTGAAGGCCTTTGTTTGGAATTCACTGAAAGGAGTATGGTATTTCCGCGATTTAGCTATTCGATGCTGATTTCAGCTGTCTAAGGAGGATATCTTGTCCAAATTATGAGCGACCATCCATCTTTGGAGGATTCGTGGTATAGTATGGCCTTTATCTAGCGAAGTACGGATGTCATTCTGATTGTTCGGACGTATTACTAATCGGCCAGTATGTGATTACCTATTCTCGTCACGATGAATCGAGGTGTACCAGCTTGATTTTTGTTTACGGGTGGTTACTGAGCACTTACATCATCTGCTGGTGAACTGGTTGCTCTCACCATCCAATTGCTGTCCTATAGTTTCATTCTGTCGCCTCTATGTTTTTCGGTTCGCCAGGTTGTTCTCCATGCGTCTGCTTTCACTGTCCTATTTCCGATCAGATGTCATCCTTTGAGCTTAACACATCGGCCACACCATACGAACTCCAGACTTGTAAATCGTCCGGTTTTGTTGTCGCTTGACCAGGTCACCGCTTATTTATAGGGTGTCCAGTCGCCACCAGCGTGTTACCCTGTATAGCACTTTATTAATATTCAGTGTCGATAAGTGCTTTATCTTTAAGAGTTTAGAACATGTACTTTATACTGGAAACCAGGAACTGCACAACTTTGTCTTAGCGTCCAGCTTACTCCGCCGGTGTTCACCCATGGGTAAAACGACACTCGATTTTGAGAGACAAATTTATCTCAATCTTCCTCCAAACTGCCTAATTCTGTGATGGATGTGTTTTCATTTCAAATATGTTTTGCTTCGTCCCACTTTATCCTCTACTTGTCTGTGTGTGGAATGTCGATAATTTATCTTGCGCCGCTGAGCGTCACAATCACTGTCTCAGTTTGCGATTGGCGTGACAGTGCTCTCACCGGTGCACTACCTGCCGCGTCACTCTCTCCGCCAGCTTTCACCCCATACATGTTTTACTGTGCATTTTCCTTACCATGATCGCTCCAATTGTGAAATCTTGTTTGCGCCGAAATGGTATGAGACAGACCGTGTCCTGTGTTGGCCGCTCCAATTCGACAGACGCGTCACCTTCATCTGAACGAGGAGAACATTCACCGAAAAGCGCCACCCATGCTATAGAGTAAGTATTGCCTCTCCCTACTTATGTCTACACCATTCATGTGTACAACCGCCCAACGTGACAGTCAGTAAATTTAATTGCTAGGCTATGAATCCAATATTCATTAAACACCTATGTTTACCGGGCTGCAGGTTAACGTTCATCCCAGATCACTACTAATTTTATTAGCATTTCTAACGCTGCTACTGAGTAGGGGGTTTTGACGTAATTGTATTGAGACTTAATTGCATTGCTTACTAAATCAGATAACCTGCCACACACCCGGAAAACCACCACAAAGCTGTTTCGTCCGTGGTGTGCATTCCCTAGCTCCATCAAGATCCCAACCCATGGCCTCTAGCAGCTTGCGTCACTAGCCAACAGCTTACGCTACTTGGCAATTGGTGACAGCGGAAAACCGTCTTGACTTACTGCACTATAATTTACCTGTTTATCAATAGTTCGCTGCATTGGATTCCATATTAGGTCACCTACCACGAATCCGGAGATGCGTCAGACGGCCGTTTCGCCCTCCTCAGTTCAGACGTAGTTTGCATGGCAGTGAAGGATGAGTCGCTCTATATCGCAGTTCTCTTGCAGATCGTGGCGGTCCGTCGTCGTCCCTGCATCCTCATGGCATAACCCGATGGTTAGTGGTGCTAGTCGATGGGGTCGGGAGGTCATGCGCTCGGTTCTTTATGGAGCGTTTAGATGTGCAACACTGGAGAGTCCCACTAGGACGAAACGATCATCTGGTATCTTTTTCCGAATGCGATGAACCCTTAGTCCCATTGGCAACATTGTCTTACTTGTACTCTATTCTACCCAGTTGTGTTTGCGCTTGATTTAGTCTTACACGCTATCCGTATGACGCGTTAATTAATTCGGTTTGCCTGCCCTTGCTATTTTTGCTTGCGAATTAATATCTCGGTTCCGCTATCCACTTGCGTTTCGAGTGCCATAATGTGATGATGCATCCAGACGTATTGGCTCACATCTTCATAGTGGTGCAGCTGAGACGCGTGAAATATCTGACGAAGGGTTATTTTTGGAGAGGTTTTAGCGGTCCACAGAATTTATGACTTCTTGAGTGCACCCTGTAAGGTCTGCAGCCACTTGCCACATCGACCTCATGGTCCACTTCCAAAGGACTGATATGCAGGAACTTGACGCAATCTCTCTTGTATTTGCTTCGAGCTTAGCAACCGATTGTTGCTACTTTCACGATATCACCAGAGGTAATCTACTACCCTAAGGTTAGCAGTAACAAAGCACCTAGCTACCATAACAGCTGAAGTGAAAATAGCCAGTTGACAGACTCACCATCGGAGAGGTTCTCAGACCTTTGTACGATGTACCAGTGTGCACAGATCGAATGGTGTTAGAGATCCGGATGTATTTGTGCTGTATTTGTACCGAGTTTTGATCAGCTTGCTGCGGATACCCGTCAAGGATTGCGATGCGGGAAGTGTGTTCCACTTCATCTAGACACTAGACTGCGTGGAACCGCGAACATTTTGAGTACTCGGTTGATTCACTCCGCCCTGTTTGCGCCACCGACTCTGGCAACCGTCTGAAGTTTGCTCTGCTTACCACGCATTAACTTGTTTTCAGTTCCTTTTTGTCTACTTATTCACCTTGTCCATTGCAAGTCATTTGTTAGAGAGGTCGCCTGCTCAGTATTGGAGCGTAACAGTAAATTCTGTATCATCGTGTGGTTCGCTCTCGTTTATAGTGAAGGACCAACTTCATCATCACCATCATCATCATTAAATGATAACCTGTTGATCAGCACACGGCTCGCTTCAGAGGTTTTCTAACGCAAGCTCTCTCACTTGGTGTATTTTTATATAGCCTCTTGCTAAGTGAATCGTTCTCAGGCGACTTTTACATACCGTTTTTTTCCTTGACATATATGATGGTCGTTCCTTTGATCCAGTTTTGTTTCTTTCGATTTTTTTGGCAAATGGTTATCCTCGACCCCTGAACTATCGCCACTTATTATCCCCCATTGGATAACGACAAATGGAGCACTCTTGTATTCGCTCGGACTCCTGATCATCGAATTTCTTGTTCATTCAGCTTGACCCATTATTATTTATATTGCCATTATTATTTCCTTGATTATTTTGGTGTCAAGTTGACTGAATTAACGGCACCTCAGCACACGGATTGTGGTTGATAAGCATTCTTGGAATGAACCTGGACGTTGGCTAGGTTGGAGAAATGACAACTTCCGATAATATTCATTTTTAATCGCCATGATTTTAAAGTGATTCGCCCGTCTCAGAAGCTGTAACCTATCACTGCGTGCTTTTGGATATTTCACCAAATACTCCAGATGCATGCACCATCAGAGGTGTGTGAACATTACATTATTCTGTCATAAAATTGGTTAACGCTTTTCTTCTTGTTATCAAGCTGTAAGATGTGTAAGTTTGTGATATACACTGTCCTTCTTAGAGTGCATCGCCAATGTCCCTGTTATTGTGACCTTTGACCCAGACGATTTGGTCGACACTCTAACCAGCGACCCTATATAATTGCTGCCTGGATTCCTTTTTTAAATGCCTGTCTTGTTTGCGACTCCATTATAGTATGAAAGCTAACGTCTACGATGTTTCCATTCTCTACGGTGATTTCTCAGCGTTGAATCGTGGTAATCACTCCACTGAGTATCACCGTTCTGCCCCACTCCCCTGTGCTGTTTCGATTCTAGTTCGCTAACCAATCAAATCGCCTGTATCAACTTCGGAAGGTCAAGAAGAAGACATTCCTCCTTCACCACATCTGCTCGCGCACTTCCTGACCGGCCTGTGGAACGAAGTCACGAGTTAACTCTGGCTGCCCAACTAACTTTGCTGTTGTTGCCACCGTTATTTTACTCACGCCTTCGAATTCTTGTCCGCAGTCTGCAACAAGTGCTACTAAATCATGCCAATTTGTGTCCTGCACTTGTTGGCGGCTACCATTCATCGAGCGATGAGTCCAGTCAAAACGTGAGCACACACGAGTCTACCTTATCCGTGGTAAGTGATGATCTATTCACACTGAATGATTCTTGATCTATCATTTTATGAAACAGCTTCCAAAAGTTTTTACGTATTATTCGCCGCCCAAGGAACCTCCAGATGAAGAGAGGTAGCATCAGTACGCCCGCAAGCCATACCGACGCATCGCTGCTACGCGCTATCACCAGTCGCACCCTGGTTAGGAATAATGCTAGGTCTCGTGCACCTACGCAGATTCGAACCGGTGACCATTGCAATACAACCTGGAGGGCACCTTGTATCAATAGGCCACCTGCTGAGTCGACCGGTTCTCCTTCATTTGATCTGGATCCTATCAAATATCTTCTAATTACAACAGCTCTGTTCGATATGACTACTTGCACAAAATACCCTGCCAGATTATGTGTAGAAAAAGACCCTACTGTGTCTCGCCGAAGAGCCTGTTCGATTTGCTTCCCACACTTTGGCCAGATCACGCCCTTCGAATGTCAGTTGGCCACCCATCTCAGCGAACATGATTTGTGGCCGCCACATCCCATTGGGTTGTCATCATCCCATTGTATGGATGACAGAGTAGATAGATACTGAATAAGGGAATGGGTGTTGCTGATATCCACCATTTTCTTGGATGTGAGTGTCGTTCTGGCCAAAGTCTTTGGGTGGAAACCTTACGTGGCAAGGTGCGGTCGCAAATTCACTCACTCTCATATTTGTTAACTTCCTCGCTTCCTTATTTTTCGTGTTGGTTCCCGCTTTTTTACTTTACACCTTGCCACATTTTCCTCACCATTTTAATTATTGCTCTCATGCTCCACACTTCCGATCTCATCTCTTCTGGTTCCGCTTTGGTCGGGGGTAACTCCGATTCGACAGTGTTTCTGTCAGTTTCCTTATAGGTACCTTACAGAGAATAGCTTTTCTCCCACATCGCATCTACTTTATCACCGTCATGAGGGCGGTCAACATATTGTGGAGAGCTTATGAACTCTAAATGTTCTACGAAACTGGCTGCTGTCCCTCGTAATTGGGCCACTTTTGTTTCACTCCGTTTCCTCTGCTACGTGCCACCCAGCCAGATGGTTCGGTCTTCGAATTGTCTGGATAGTTTATGCCTTACTTACTTGCTGACGTATTTATCCACACAACGGTGTCTTCTCAGCGTTGGACATCAGGTGATATAGATGTGAAAGGATTTCATCACATCCCGAAGTAGATAGAGGCGGCCATTACGCGTCCAGAGGAGCACTGGACGGCCGTTTCATTCTTTAGGGATTTGTCACCGGTGCATGTTCTGTCTTCCCCTTGTTGGGTTGGACTCCACAATCCTAATGCTCCAAGCATGTGACTACCATCACTGGTGCAGTAACGGTTTATTTGGCTAAGTTTCTGACTCGCACGTAATTGTCCCCGCAAGGGACACTGTGGTTTCCTGGAGAAGCTCATTCAAACCTTAAATCGCAAGGTTAAACGGTTGTTGCGGTTGGATGGACTTCATCACATCACGTTTCAGATTGTAGGGCTTTTCTGAAACGGTGTCTGGGAGTCATAAACGCCTCGGCAGCATGTGCCCGGTTTGTTCGCTTCCATTTCCAGTAGCTTCCTTTCTTATCTCCAGCTGTCTTGCCTAAACCAGCCTGAATTGTCAGTGTAGGCACTGCTAAGCCCGATTTCTCATTCTGTAGGCCAGTGCTATCGTGCCTCAGGGATTATACTCTGCTTTTGGTGTATTTTTTGACAATACACTTTACTGTGAAATAGATCAAATTATTTCCAACTCGGGTCGTGTGTTGAGACGTTGACTTCCTCGCTGAGCTCGGTAATTCGCTTACAGACGCATATGGTCACTAATCGAGGTAGCAGTAGTAATGAGAACCAAATCCGGTGGTGAATGGCACCGGTCACTTTCCTGCTCCTTAGATGCCTTTTGAGCGCCATTCAGCCTTATTACTTATCATTTGTTGTGCTCAAGCATAGTTGATCGGTTTCCGTTTGATAAGACATACTTTATTGCAAGGTCTGTAGGTGAATCACGCAGCTCGGCGAGCAAATCATTATCTTGAAGTAGGTTTGGTACATCGGCTTCCGCTTTCCACTCGGTTGCGAAATGCCTTGTCGAATTACCTTAACCCGTCCGCAATGAACTTTTCATTAGTCCGTTCACTCTTACTGTTTCTTTGGAACTTCCACATGGTAAGAACGCTTGTGGTTGAGGCGTAAAATAGCCGATTTTCGTTTCCAAGTTACGAAGCAGCTGAATGTTTCTACTCACAACTCCACAAGGCTATTGAAATTCTTAAACGATGCATACCCATTTGCAGTGGAACACAGAACCGCTGTTATTCGTCTGACGATCATGTACAGCAGCGGTTGACGAACTTATAGCAGCCGATTCCTTGGATTGTTCCGCTTGTTCTGCCACCATGATTTGTTTCTAATTCTATTTCTGCTTGTCCGAGTAGAATATATATATATATATATATATATATATATATATATATATATATATATATATATATATATAACTGTTGCCCCATGCTGAGACTGATGTTGCATTCATGATGCTTCTTCACCGCAGTTGGGCTAAACTAACTTACACTTAAACTAGGTCTTTTTAATGCGGATACAATTTATTACATTTTATTTGGTTTGTTCTGCCTACTTGGTAATCTTCTGCCAACTTACACACCTCGTTCATGCAAATTGTGGTAAATTTGCGTAATGTTATCGCATTATGTTTAAAAAAAAACTTTCGGACATTTTGTACTTATCGCGTATTCACTTTTAACCAATTTCTTCCATATGGTCATTTAGCGAGTATTTATGTCGTCATATGCATTTACTTTATTCGATATCGGCATTTCGAATGATTGACTGTTGTTTGACATCCCCGGTGTGGCTACGCTTGATGTGCATGTTCACGAGGTCTCTACCTGTCTATTACCCACTACCTCGTCCATCTGGCTCCAGGAGACAGTTGGTCGTCGCTGGAGGGGACGGGGTGCATTGTCCTTGTGGTTGTGCTAGGCTCGAAGAGTGGTTCCATGCAGTCAGTGTGAAGCGGACTACGGTCCAGCCACCGCCTTGTATGCACTTGATTCCCAAATACAGCGTGCTTGTGTTTGTCTGTGAAGGAGTGTGGGCCGGCTCCGTTGATGAAACGTGGTTCCCACCTGCAAGCCTCACGGTCTTATTCGTTCGAGTTTTCACTGCATATGGAGTGTGTGGATGGAGCTGTGGGTGGTGCAGCGCAAGCCATCCATGGTCCCTCTGTAGGCGCAGGTGTCCTGTGACTGTCCACAGTGACAGACAAATCCGAAACCGGATGCCGCCAACCATATATATATATATATATATATATATATATATATATATGTATACGCGTTATTGTCCAGTTCGCGTCTGTTCCTCTCTCACGGTGCACTGTGCTTGTGTATACTTTGCACGTCGGTTAGCTTTCTTTCACTATGATGTGAAATCTCGCATCTTCTGGTCGTTTTGCCTACCAGACGATGGCCAGCAATGTACGTATCCCATACATTTCTGGCGTCCAGTACGAAGATCCTGACACCAAGCCGTCTTGATAATCAACCTGATGATTCTGATCGGTAGTTTGGGTGACTTCATCCCTACCTTGGCCGCTTTGGCTACGACATCTCGCAATTCATGTGCCTGAAACAACCGACTCGAAACATCTCGGTTGGCGCATCATGTGCATGTAACTGTAGCAATAGTTGTTGCACAATATATTGGAACATATTTGGTACCGATCGGGAAGTCATCATTTCAGAAAACTTGGTAAACGACCGGTTAATGTATTTTGTTCGTCGCAATCAGCCGACAATTCAGATATGTCGACCAGCTGTCCGGAAAAGCACCAGACGGCCGTTTCGCCCTATTGGGGCGAAACGGCCGTCTGGTGCTTTTCCGGACAGCTGGTCGACATATCTGAATTGTCGGCTGATTGCGACGAACAAAATACTCACCAAAATCCTTCCATTCATAAGTAAGACCGGTTAATGTATTTATGGTGATACACAACGTTTCGCATTTGACACAAATGCTTCATCAGGCGAAGTGAATTATTTAAACATTGGCATTTTATAGCGATCATGGCTAAACTACATACGAAGACAAATCAATTTGCAGTTCATCTATGAATGATTACAACGGTCAAAGGTCAATATGTTCGTGGGTACACTGTAGTTTGTTTCAGTCAGAGTCAGATGGGGGAACGAAATTGCCGGTCCGTAGATAATTACATTGTGGCTAACAATCTTAATTGAACCGTTGCAGGGAACTTGGACACTGATAGAATTTGGCTTTAGTTCTTCGGAGGGTGGGTCGATAGTTCATTCCGACTTGGGATCCATCCACCGATGTTTACAAAGCTGGCCGGAGTAAGACTGGACGCCAGGCACTGGACAGCCCTACTCCGTCTATTCTATTCACGCAGTTGTTAGCCTTGGTTATTTCTATAGCCTCAGCAATCAGCCTTTGTTTGGCTGATCGTAATCCCTTCCTGATTACCTCCACATTTTCGAAGTCAATTTTATGCCCCGTGTCTAGCGCATGCATTGCTATTGCTGAATCTCTGAGTAGAGCTCCATACTCTAGCTCATTTCGTGGAGGTCGTGATATGTGTCGCCTATGTTCTGAAATCCTTGTACGTAATTCCCTCGCTGTTTGGCCTATATACACTTGTGTACAATCTTCACATGGAATTTTGTAAATACAGTTAGTTGTTCTATCTAAAGGGAGTGTATCCTTTAGGTGCACAAGTGTGGACCGTAGCGTTCGACCCTTCTGGAAAACTACCCTTATCTTCTCCTTATTCAATACTCTCCGAATCGCTTCTGAAATTCCTTCTTTATACGGAATACCCACTGTCGCTATCCACTCTGCGGTTGGAGTTGCGCGTGGGTTGAGACATTTCTTTAGCTGTCGTTTCACCAATCGTTTTGGATATCCGCTAGCTATTAAGGTTTTCATTGCTTCCCTCTGCGCTGCTTTCTTATCTTCTTCCTCCGTGCACAGAGCTCTTGCTCTGTGAAATAAAGATGAGGCGATTCCCGCGTACACGTGCTTTGGGTGGCTTGAACTATAGCTGAGTACCCCATCTGTGTCCATTGGTTTGCGATACATCGTTGTCTTTAACGTTCCTTCCTTCCTATGTACCAGACAATCAAGGAACGGAAGTGTACCGCTCTGCGACTCAAGTTCCATGGTGAACTTTATCGCATTGTCAATAGAGTTCAAATAGTTTAAAAATTCTTCCATTTTATCCCTTTTTATAATCGCAAAAGTGTCATCCACGTAGCGCCACCATACTTTCAGGGCACCACGGAAATTGGGTAATGCTTTATTTTCAAAATCTTCCATGTATATATTTGCTAATACGGGGGATATTGGAGATCCCATGGCCAGACCCTGTTCTTGAGTGTACATTCTAGACTGAAATGTGAAATGAGTCATGTCGAGACACAAAGCTATCCCCTCGACCACTTGATCCACTGTCAGCTTTGTTCTGTCCTCCAAGCTGCTGTCCCCTCTCAAACAGTTTTTCGCTAATCGTAACGTCTCCTCCTTGGGTACATTCGTGAACAAGGAGGTAACATCGAAGCTGACCATCAATTCGTCTTGTTCGATGCTCACCCCTCGCACCATTTGTGCAAACTCATATGACTTTTTTACAAATGTGTTCGTTCTCCCTGTTAGGGGTTGCAGCAGGCTCGCTAGATATCTCGCAAGTTCATGTGTGGGAGAGCCTATGCCATCCACTATAGGTCGCAAGGGGACCTTGGGCTTGTGTAGCTTTGGGAGACCGTAAATCCTAGGTGGAATAGCCGACTTCGGATAAATGCTGTACCATTTGCCCTTTCCTCAACTGTCCTTCACGGTCCTTAAGTAACTAGCGACATCTGATTTCTTCTTATTCATTACCGATGTAATGCATTTCTGCTCAACCTCTTTGTACGGTCCCGTGGTCAAATGCTCCTTCATGTTATCTAAATAATCTGTTTTATTCATTACCACTGTTATTTTACCTTTATCCGCTCTTGTAATGACAATACTACTATCCTCTTTCAGGGTCTTTAACGCTACGTGTTCAGCTGGAGCAAGATTCGATTCTACTGGCTGTTGAAATCTAATTATATTTACTAATTGGGCGCGGATGTTTTCCGCCTTTTCAAGTGGTAATGTAGTCAAGACGTGTTCAACTGCAGGAGTTACATCTTCTGCCCTTAGTTTAGATTTACTGATAGTAAAATGTAGACCCTTTTCTAAAACTCTACGCTCTATTACACTTAACACTCTATCTGACATGTTAACAACGCTACAATAGTTGCTATTAGATACTTCCTTATCAGTACGACTATCGACCTTATTATGTGAAGCCATCAAGTATTCAAACTTACGTATTTGCCTCTCCTTCGACTCCCGTCCTCTTGCTGCCTTAACTTCGGTAGGCCTCCGAAGAACTAAAGCCAAATTCTATCAGTGTCCAAGTTCCCTGCAACGGTTCAATTAAGATTGTTAGCCACAATGTAATTATCTACGGACCGGCAATTTCGTTCCCCCATTTGACTCTGACTGAAACAAACTACAGTGTACCCACGAACATATTGACCTTTGACCGTTGTAATCATTCATAGATGAACTGCAAATTGATTTGTCTTTGTATGTAGTTTAGCCATGATCGCTATAAAATGCCAATGTTTAGATAATTCACTTCGCCTGATGAAGCATTTGTGTCAAATGCGAAACGTTGTGTATCACCATAAATACATTGACCAATAGTTGTTGCACTTTTTAAGACAGTGGTACCGTATAATTTACAGCTTGTAGTCGGTTGTGGACGAATTCTAGTGATTTTTCCTTGACAAAGCACCTGCTCATGGTCGTGGATGGCTCATTTCGGTGCATTTCAGATTACCGATGCGCATAACATTCGAAGCTACTCACTCAAGTTGCGATATGCACATGCGTTTGCTTCTCTCTTCATGCTCAACCTGGCCACTGTTACAGTTAAGTGTCTGGCCCACTGCTGCGTCGTCGATTTCTCTGCAACCTTTTCATTTGCTTTTTGAAAAATTTCGCTAACACACGTTCCCCATCTTAGCCATTGCTGTGTTTGGCATCGAATTGTTTCAACTCCTTGGATTGGTGAAATCGTGCATGTCGAGATAATCCTCCGCGAATGTAAACCAACATTGGACATTGACCTGCCATTCTGTTGTTATGGAACAAAGGGTAATTTTTTACCGTACACAAATTTAAACCACTATTTGACTGCAGCACACGTTCACCTGGGTTCATTAGTTCACGCTCGTCGTTCGTTCGCTGTCGTATTATGGACCACTCCTAGCTAGCCAGGAACAAAGTTGCATTCCGTTCTGAGCTCTTCATCCGGTACCTGCACATGGGGTCAGCTTGCGCCGGCTGCGCTACCTGGGTTTCCATCCTTTGTCCCCGCCTGTTCGATTAGCCAACATCGCACCGTATACCATCTGCTCAGGTTCATTGTCATTCACAACACTGCAACCCAATTCTTCACTGTTCATTTGGCCCGTTTGAGCGTAGTGAACTTGCGCTGGCGACACTGCTTGGCTTTTTAGTCCACTGACTACGCGTCGGTTTTGCTCTCGCAATCTGCCAGTTCAGTTCTGTTTATTTCATCTTCCCTTCCACTGTGGGTCATCATCATTATTCACCTAAGGTGCAGGTGGAAAACACCTCAGCTATTGTACCGCAGTACAAAAGACAAGAAGAAGAAGAAGAAACTGGCACGCCGGCTGAGTCCCCCAGTAACAGGTGAACATGGTTCCGGTGAGCTAAAAGCCGGCTACCGTGCCTCAGAAAAAGAGCTATATTATGCCTAACAAATGAGATCGTGATTGCAGGGGGATGCTAAGCAGGAGGGGATAGACATAGGAACTCATAACACAAACGCCATTGGGTCTGGCTCCCAGCCATATCAGCAAGTGTCCACTGTAGATGGTCTCGTGGTCCTGTGCTGCGGCTTCAGCCGGCTCATTCTGCTGATGCTTCCGCTCCTCATGATACAGAGCAACTTCACCACCTTGCCTCTGCTGCACTTGTTGCCGTGGAATGACGTTATTTTTTATCTTAACTTCATAGCTTCTTTCTCTCCTACGACCTCACCTCTCGCCTGCCCGTGACCATAAGGATCGCATACCTGCCTTGTAATCCTCAGGTCGCGGGTTCGCGTCTGCGTAGAAAACCGGGCGACACACACAGTATCCTTAGTGTACGGGTTACCGGTGGTGGTTGCGCGACAGCGATGCGTCGGTACCGTGTGCCGGCGCACCGCTGATGACTTTTACTCCTCTCTTCCAACACCCGTCAGATCCAGGAATCGATCCAACCCATATTTCGTCCCTCGACGCTTGAGATTGGACTTCTCTTGATCTGCAATCATAATACGTTTTCTCGCAACATATTATTGCCTTCAAGATGTTGTGTAAGACAATTCGAAGTTATTTCTGGCTGTATTAGCGTCTTTGCTACCGCTAGCAGCGTCCTTGTTCTGCTACTAAGCAAACTTTGATCCGTACTTATCTCAAGTTCAGCGAACAGCGTATTTTTCCTTTCAAGCAACATGATTTAAGGATATTCGTGGGTCTACTTGACCTTGCTGAGTACCTTCTTTGCTTCCTTGACCTTTGAGTTGTTCTTTACGTTTGATTGGCCATAGTGCGGACTGGTGAGTCGGTGTAGAAAATCCCACTTCTTGCTGAAATTGCGAAATTCGACACCATTGGGAATCTTCCATGTCGAGCGAACTGACATGGCTCATGATTGCTTACGCACTAGTCGTAATGTTGGTATCAATCTCGAAGTAGTCGCTGGAGTAATCCTTCCCCTCATGAATGAAAATGTCCAGGGCGGTCTTATGCCAATGCCTCTCTAGTACTTCATGATGCATCCTGGGCTAATTCGGCTGACACATCTCTTGTGTTCGGCATGCTAAGCAGTTTGTGACATAATCCCGCATTTAGTCAGTCATCCCATGTCATAACGTTAGTTCTCGATCCGTCGCTTCAGTTGTTGGCGCCCAACTCTCATTGTCTTTAAACATTTATCCTTATTGAGTGACGAATTCATCCCCAATTCGACCTAATAGGGCGAAACGCGTCTGGTGCTTTTCCGAACTATGCTGTGCTATGTGGCCTTTGAACTACTGGGATGAAAGTCTTAAAAATTACAACTAATATCCTGCCACTCGCGGGTATTATAAAATAAATAGCCTCTCCTAGTTTCAAATGCTATGGATATAGCGTCTAGTTAGAGGACGTCATCACCTCGCAGGCTAGCCACTATCAGTGACAGTGGAAGGTAGGTGGTGCTATGTCTCAGTTAGCTTGCAAATTATGTAGCCCAACCAACGTCCCCCATGCCTCAGTGGCTTAAGCTGCTGGGTAGTTGGCATCGGCCTCTAGCGGCCATAGGTTCGATCCCCAGTATGGGACCGAGGGAATGCGCACCACTGACGAGCCCCCATGGGGCGAAATATGACGATGTATTCCACTTTGTTTCCTCTTATCGTCCAGACATACGGGGACTGGCCGAAACCTGGTTAAATTCTGCGGTCGCTACCCAGGAACTCCAGATTAGTGGCTATTCGTGACTACTCTGGTGCGACAGACTATCAAACGATGGAGGTGGCGCGCTGTTATTCATTCGGTCCTTGCTGTGCGCATGACTGGTACACACCTACCGCAGTGAAGATGGCCTGTGCGAGCAACCATGGTCCTAGATCCTCCTGAGACAGAGTAAATTGTTTGTGGGTGCTTATCGCAGCCCACGAACTCGATGTCTGGATTGGTTGACGCATGTAAGAAACTACATGAGTCCGCTTTGCTTCCCGCTTATAGGCGATTTTAACTTCCCTCAAATACTGTGGCCTGAGGCCAAACTTCTCCCCGGATACTGTGAAATCTCGCCGCAAGTTGCGGTGATGATATTTGAGACTAGATAGCACAACACGTCTGCCAACTGATGCTCATTGCACCGCATTCCACTCCATCGTACTTGGACCTATTAGTAACTATTTACGAGCAACGTGTATGTGCAATTCAGGTCCTGGAGCCTCTGGCAACTAGCAACCACTCGATGGTCTTAGCCAGTCTCGAGCTGCCGCTGACCTACTGGCGTCCGCTGGAGCCGTCCTACAACTACTGGAAAACAGACTTCGAAGGTTTCAATCGAGGCGCCAGTGAAGCGGACTGGTCACTACCGCAGGATTTATCCATTGAAGCCCGTTAGTCTTTTGTAAAAATGGGTGTGCAGTCGTTATTCGCACGTTTCGTGCCGCTCAAATATAGGAAAGCTGGACCAGTGAAACCACATTAGTTCGACAGAGTGTATAGCCAATTCGCTCATCAGCGACGCGTATTGTGGAATAAATTCCTCTTGTCTTGCTCTGCCAACGATTGTGAGGCATACAAAAGGCAGCGGAATGTTTGCAACAACATGAAAATGTCGGCAGTTCGAAGAGCAGCTTGCAGTCTCAGCGAAGACAGCCTCCAAGAAGATTTTGGCTTACGAGAAGCGGCGCCTGAGGCCCGAAAGTGACGTAGCTGGGTTAGAGGGCACTGGCGGACAGCCTCTGAACTCCAGCACTGAACGTGCGTCCCGCACTGGTTGAGCACTTCGCTTCCGTAGCTACAAGTGGGTATGCACCTATGCCGAGCTTGACGTGTGCACCCCCTACTAAACTCGATATCCTGGATTGCGGTGTCGAAAATGTTCGCAGTCTACTCGCCAATCTTAGCGGCAGGTAACCTGCCGGATCCGATCGACTTCATCCGCATATTTTAAAGTGCTTATCGGCCATCATCTCGCCTGCCGTAGCGGATCCGTTCAACAAATCGCTGTCGTATGGTGCATTGGCCGAGCGACTGGAAATGCTCGATAGTGAAGCCGATTCCAAAAGGTGTTGACCAACGCAATGTGGATACTTATCGGCCGATTTGTCTCACCTCTGTTTTGGCGTAGGTGCTCCAGGAGATTGAGAAAAAGGGTCTTCTCCAGCTATTTAAGTCGAAAGATTTAACGCCGCCACAGCATGGCTTCATGAAGGGCCGCTCGTGCAGCACCAATCTACTGTTGACGCGGCAGCACTGGTTGCAAGCGTTGAACCGGGGGAAATCAGTGGATCTTAAATACATTATTTCCAGTTAAGGTTTCGATAAAATGAATCATGAGGTCCTCCTCCACAAGCTGAGGATGTGTGGTGTTGGTAACGCACTGCACCAGTGTATCAGTGTCATCTTCGTTAGGAGGAAATAACGGGTACAAGTGGATGACCACCTAACGGACTGGTGCCCTTCCTCTAGCGTTGTACCCCAAGGTACAGTGCTGGGGCCAATTTTATTCCTAATCCTCAGCTTCTTCGGTCGTGTTGTGCACTGTTTCCAGACGACTTGAAGATTTGGAGGATTATTGATTCTCCCGACGACGGTGACATCCTTCAGCAGGATCTCGACAGCCTGTCATTGTGGTCTGCAGAAGTTGACCTACCGGCCAACCCGGCCTAGTCCTCGTTTATGAGCCTGGGGAGGGGTGGTAATGGGTGAGCGTACACCCTGGCCGGCCATCCGCTACATCCCACCAGTTCCGTAAGGGATCTAGACGTACTCCCACGTTGTGATCTGGAGTCTATCGACAACACGAACTGACCGTACGTAAATAGACTACGCCTGCTTCGGGCACTTGACGCAGCTTTTACCACCCGTCTTTTCTCTTCCATGATAAGGCAAGTGCTTGAGTACGGCTCAACCGCCTATTGTTCCATCACAATAGATAAGTGCAGAGACTGGAACTGGTCCAGCATGTCACTACCCGGCTCATCCCAAGTTTACGAGGTATATCATAATAGGACCGATGTAGGAGATTAGCGCTGTATACCCTGTCATATCGTCGCATGACGCACCGCATATCGCACTTTGGCTACTTCCCTATGTTGAGGCCCCTGCTGCACTTTCGCGCATCAATCAGCATACACGGACACCGGTACAAACTAGTGGTACCGGATTTAAAGCGCATCGCTCATCCTCTGTGCATGGGACGTCGAATGGTGGACTATTGGAACAAGTTGCCGGTGACGTTAGTCGAGGCAAAATAGGTGTCGGAATTTAAGTTATTCTTCGATGCCCATTTTACGGACTAATGAAATGGGGAGCGCATCGCACCCGGATAAAATGTAGTGTAGCTGCAATATGCTGCCGCCGCGCAGGAATCAGCGACGTGATTCCGCGCATGTGCCCGATCCACCTACGATGAAGCAACACAGATTTTTTATCTTCTCGCTCTCTATTCTCAGTATTCAATATCCATCGGAAACGTCCAAAAGGCGTTCCGAAGGTAGTCAGATATCTGCTTTCTTCGTCAAGTGGAACGTACCAGAATGCTAAATCGACGTCAACTATTGTAAAGATTTGGCATTGGACAACAGCGATAAAACATCATCTAGTGTCACTAGCATGTAATTTTCTATTCTGTGCGCGGAGTTAAGCAGTTCAGAATGGCTGCATGCACATAAATCCCCCGATCTCTTTGTGACTACCGCAACCTGACTGAATACTGTATTATAGAGCAAGTAGAAATGGATTCTGTACAACTCTTTCAAATATTGTGCAAAACATTATAAAAGTTGTCAACCGTGAATATCATTGTCGTTCTCATGTAATATTTAAAATTTTCGACTTACGATATTTCAGGATTCACGAATGTGATATGTCATCGTAAGTGTGCAGTCGTTCTCTGAATCGAATAGTGGCAAAATATAAATCTAACAACGTTTTGAACTGTTGCACAGATGATGCCTCAATCACATGTTCAGGCAAACTGTTCCAAATGTTTACCACTCTCCGTTCGAAGCACAGTGGGTGGGGAACACATTTCACATCTGGCACGACAAGTTTGTATCTGTGTCCGCGTGTGCTGCATGGCCCTCGTAAGTGCAGCATTGGCCTTAACGTGGGGAAGTCACCGAGATGTAGAATTCGGTAGGTCATAATGAGGTCGACTCGCAACCGACGATAGGACAAGGTATAGAGTCCTAGTTTCTCGCACCGGTCTTCATACCCAAAGCCACGTAAACTCGGGATAAGCCTGGTGGCAACGTGTTGGACCCGTTCGATCTTTCGTGCCTCGCCTCGGGTAATCGGAAAGTAGGCGGGCGAACCGTACTCTAGCATTGGTCTAATGATAGAAGAGAACAGGCGAGTGGCAACCGCTTCAGACCATGTGCCGAAGCTACGTTTGAGCGCCCAAAGCATGCGCAGTCCGTTCCGATATAGCCTGTTCGTGTTGTCCACGGACTTCAAATCGTAGCGTGAGAGTACACCTAGGTCCTTCACGGAGGGTGTGGGATATAGCGTTTGGCCGTCAAGGGTGTAGGTTCGGCCGTTAGCACCCTTCCCCAGGCTCATAAATACCGACTTGGCTGGGTTGACCGGGAGAAGGACTTCTGCAGACCATGTGGATAGGCGATTGAGGTCTTGCTGAAGTAGGCCACAGTCATCGGGAGCGTCGATTTCTCTCCAAATCTTTATGTCGTCCGCAAACAAGGCACACGGCGACCGGAGAAGCTGCGATAGATCGTTGATGTTGATCAGGAACAGGGTGGGCCCCAGCACAGTGCCTTGAGGCACGCCACTTGTAGAGGGGTACCAGTCAGTTAGATGGTCGTCGAACTGTACCCTCCACTTTCGTCCAACAAGAAAGTCGCGGATCCACCGGTGCAGTGAGCCACCGACACCACACATGCTGAGTTTGTGAAGGAGAACCTCATGACTGACCTTGTCGAACGCTTTACTGAAATCGATGAATATCACGTCGGCGGACTTCCCCTTGTTTATTGCCCTCGACCGCTCATACCTCGTCACAAGCAGGTTCGTAATGCATGAGCGACCTTGCATAAAACCGTGATGTGCGGGCGTTCGGACCTCGTTTGACTGTAGCAATTGCAGCAATCCCTTCTTCACGATTTTCTCAGCAACCTTTGCCAAAATAGGTGTCAGACAAATTGGCCTGTAGTTGTCTACTTTGCTAGGGTCGCCGCCTTTCGGAATAGGCTTCACCACCGAACATTTCCAGTCAGCCGGCAACAAACCTGCGGACAGCGACCTGTTGAAAATGTCAGTCACGACAGGAGAGAGGATGGTTGAAAGTGACTTGAGAACCAGTGGGTGAAGCCCATCAGGTCCGGCAGGTTTGGTGCCGTCCAGGTTGGCGAGTAGTTGAGCTACCTCTTCGACTCCGCAATGCAGACTATCGAGTTCGGTAAAAGCGGTACACGTCGAACTCAGAACAGACACCTGGTTATTCGCAAATACA